ATGGTACTATTCCGATATGTGTCGCTTACGAGCAAGAGTGATACAAATAACTACAATCCCGTTTTAAGGCCACTTCTTTTGGGCATGATAATATGTGCTTACAAAAAGTGTTTTTTGTTCTATAACTTCGTGAAGTGCATTGGTTACTATATATACCACATGCTTTAAGATTAAGAAATGTGCACTTTGCCCACAGAGTGTCTTATGAGGCTCATAATGCTTTCAAAATAAACAAAGATTATAGCTACAGGCTTGGATGTCGAGGAACAGGATTCCATTCTGGGTACGAGCAAGAGATATTTTTCTTCTCCACAGCGTCAAGACGGGCTAAGGTGCCCGTCCAGCCTCCTATTCAATGGATAGGCGATGGGTGATTTTCCGGGGTTACAGCTGATCACTCACCTCCATTTACTACCGACTTCCTGAGGCTATACATTGGCTCTCCCATACGCCTTCATGGCGTGGTGCTTAATTAGGCGGAGAGACAGCTGTGAATTTATTTCCCTGAATAGTATTAACCGTTGTAATGAGGTACAAACTAACTGCATAGAGCAAACGTTTTCTTCACAAGGTAATGGTTGCTCAAATAAATTCCTAGCAGTTTACAGAATCCGAAAGTCCATACCATTCGTGACCAGGGCGCCGTCGGGTCCTATTCTGGACACAATCAACGCAGTCCAATTTAAGATCCGTTGCAATTTTACTTCCTTCCTAGGTATTCCCAGTGATCTATTCTCTCTGGTTTCTCTACCCAGACCTTGTCTGCACGACCTTCTGTTCTTGCGGCATGGCTTGCCCATGCCATCTTCCTTGATCTGATCATTCTAATAATATTTGTGAACACGAATTATGGAGCTCTTCTTTATACAATTATTTTTCGCCTCCTGTTATTCTCTTCTCTTAAGTCTATACATTCTTCCTGTACCTGTTTTCAAACACCCTCAGCCTGTGCTCTTCCGTGAATGTGACATGAGTCACTCATGGAGCTGATCCCTTCTTCAGAAGCCGGCAATTGTGCAGCTACTCAAGAACTTCCCAGCATATTATGGAACCCGAAGGTTCATTACCGTGTTCACAAGAGCCCTCCACTGGCTCCTATCCTCAGCCAGATCAATCCAATCCATACCATCCCATTCTATCTCTCTAAGATCCACTTTAATATTGTCCACCCGCCAACGCCTTGGTTTTCCCAGTGGTCTCTTTCATTCTGGCTTTCCCACCAATATCCTTTATGCATTCCTCGTCTCCCCCATTCATACTACATACCCTACCCACCTCATCCTCCTTGACTTGATCATTCTAATTATACTTAGAGACGAGTACAAGTTATGAAACTCCTCATTATGCAGTGAAATGAGTTAGGAATTACATTTTTAAATATTATTTAGACGAGTTTCGAAGTTTAAAAGATTAAAAACGCTTCACCAATTTAACTGTTTGTTTTGTTTTGAAGTGAAAGATGTCCATGAATAATGATCTGGAAATGACGTGGAAGTAAACGTTGCCTATTTCAGCACCCGCGGCAGAAATCTGGAAGGCTTGAGAAACTCAATGAAAGTCACACGGATAGCCAAATTCGTGCTCTGATCTGTAGTACAGAAGAGTTGCTCTGTATCGGCAGGGCAAGCACGCTTAGGGAGAGCCAGCGCCCTCATAACGGGGTACGTGAAATGTATTTCATGCATTACCAAACACAACTCGAAGGGACGTAAAAAGAAATTTCTTTTGTACGCCTTTCTCTCTGCATGGAGTTAGTAGGGGTTTGTTAAAATTGCAAAATTTTGTTGTGGTTATGATGCAGGATAACAAATGGTTCGAGAGAAATTAAAGTTACCACTGAAAGAAGTAGTTGAAGTTTCACTTTGAGACCGATGTGTGCTTGAAGTTTCACTGAGACCAAATGGTGCATACTCTGTCAACAAGGGGTACGTGAATTTTCACTTTTAGATAAAGGATACGTGAAGTTTCCTTCTGAGATCAAGGTGTGCGTGAGATTTTATTGTGATGCCAACGTGTGCATGATGTGCAAAGTTTCATTCTGGGGCCAAGGAACACGTGAAGTTTCACTCTGAGACCAAAGAACGCTTGAAGTTTCTCTTTCGAACTAAAGGAAATTTCCCTCTGAGACCGAGGGATGCATGAATTTTTATTCTGGTACAAAGGGATGCGTGAAGTTTCACCCTGAGACGAAATTCTACGACAAATTTCACTCTGAGAGAAAGGGATGCATGAAATGAAACTGGGACTAAGTTATGCGTGAAGTTTCCCTCTGAGAGCAAAAGACAAGTGAAGCTTCACTTACACCAAGGAATATGTGAAGTTTCACTCTAAAACCTGGGAGTGAGCAAAGTTGTACTTTCATTTGGGAGGTAAGCAGTTTGAATCATGGCCTGAGGTTCTATGGCTTCTTCAGTTCCTTTCAGCTTTCAGTGGCATATATGAAAACAAGTGGCGACTGCTTTCTCTGACCATATCACATTAGACGCTACATAAATCCCAGTACCTGGTACAGCGTCATAAAGTAACTTTATAACGAATCAAATAGGTATGAGGCATAAAACTGTAGAAATATAGAACATATGACGTTCCAAGTTTAGTTATGACTTCCATATACCTTGGGCATATGTCTGCAAATATGAAAACGTAGTTATGTCGTTGTTGCAGGGACTATGTTGTCCCGCGGGCAAGTAAGGAGAAGCACTAGTGGGACTGTCCGATGTTATTACTTCTCTAGGAGGCCTGACCAGTGATATAAGTCACATACATACATACCCAAGCGCATAATATAAAAAGCCTGTGCCTTATATTGCGAGCTACGTTACGGGGGGAGGGGGCCAAGGCTTCTTCCCTGCATGACTGATGCTATTTTCCATTAAGTAAAGTAGTCCGCGGCTCCCATATTGCTCTAAAGAATGTACGTTGTAAGGTTTTTATTTAATATTGCTTGTTGCTTCTGGTATATGGGTATATGGTCTCATTTCTCTTGTTACATGAAAATAAGAAAATAATGAGCTAATGCTTATACATGTAACATTGTCACAGTTATTGGGACTGCGAGGCAAGACCGTTCCAATCTCCATACAACGACTTGCAGTACATGAACGAGTATTAGAACAACAAACAAACAAACTCCGTGGCTTTAAGGCCGGAAGCGAACTATACCGACAGAGCGACCGCCGCTTGTCGGCGAAGTTAGTGCCAACTTATGCGGATAGAGGGTGTCGCGAGGTCAGCGCAACGGATCCCCACGGCCGTTAATCTCGATGTTCTAGATCGGAGCCGCTACTTTTTGATTCAAGTAGCTCCTTAGTTATCCTCACGAGGCTGAGTGGACCCCGTTCCATATTCATACTTCTCAGAAAATTTGGTGACGCCTCGAATCGAACCCGGACGTCTGGATCTGTAGCCAGGAACTCTGACCACTAGGCCACAGAGGCGATAACAACGTAGTGTGAAAATGAGATAGGCTGAACATGCAGCTTAAGGAGGTGGGATAACTCTGTGGGTATAGTGACTAGGCTACGGGCTGGACGACCAAGTAATCGGATTTGAATCCCTTTTTCCAGATCGTAGAGCACCTAGCCTTCAGGGCTCTTTGCCCGGAGGTCAAGTGGCCGGAGCGTGAAGCTGACCACTCACCTCCAACTAGTTCCGAGGTTAAGAATGTAGAGCTATATCTGCTGTCCCCCGTACGTTTTCATGACAGGGTGCTTAATTAAACATGTAGCGTCAACTTTACTCCCTGTTACTTGCACATACACTTCAGACATAATAAATTAGCAATTTTGCAGTAATTTGAGTAATAATCTTCTTTAAAACTGATATCTGGGATGGCTGAGACGGAAGCGGTAAAATCATATTGTAATGATCGAAATTAAATATACAGTAGAACTTGGTTATAACGTCATCAAAGGGACCTAAAAACAGTGTCGTTATAAACGAATGTCGTTGTAACCGAAATGGGCACTTCCACAGTAGCCTTATGTTAGTCACGTAAAAATCTACCAGAAACCGAGTTAAAATGTTGCATTTTTTAGTGAAATACGTAGTTAAGTACAGACTAACGTAACATTAACGTGGAATTGCCCAAATATGTAATATTAAAGACATATTACAGCGCTTTTCACTGACAATACACACCGCACTAATACTGTATATTAAAGGTAGGCCTACTCACGAAATTACAGTAGATTACATCAATTGTTGTGCCTTACTGTACCTAGATACGAGTACAGTAATCAGTTATCTTCATCTGTTTCCTGTTACTTGCCCAATACACACTTTCTAAATTACGTTCAGTGTCCATATCAGAGAAATTCAGGAATGAAAATGACGTTACATACGAGGTTGATGCATTTGTGCATGTCGTACTAAGCAAGGTATAAAAACAGTTGCTTTATGAGGAATTCGTTCGTACCATTGAATATTTGACGCAATAGACAAGGTGTCGCAGAAACCGATGTTGCTATAACCAAGTTTTACTGTACTAGTATTTTGCAATTTTGTTAATGAGGATAAATCCAATGACAGTATTTTGTTTTCCGAAGTGGCCAGTGCTTAAATTCTTAGGTCAGAGACTTAAATAGATAAGTTATCACTTCGTCTGTCATTCAGTCGGTCTGTTAACTGGCCAGTTAAAGTCAGTTCGCTTGCTTGCTAGACTGTTTGTTACTTCATCAGTAGAATTATCGGAAATTAATATAGGATTCTGCTGGTTTGTATTACAGTTCAGCTCAAAATTATACACTGCAGCTGTCTGAAATTTATAGTGAAAATTCGATGAACAAGATGAACATTTTAAAATATGATAAAACCTGTTGAAATGTCAACAGGAACCTGTTAAAAGAAAACTTTATTAAAAGTACTCAGCAATTTAAATAGTTCCAGAAAGTGTGAACTAGGATGGCCGCCCCTCCGCTCAATCTGTATACCGAAACAGATGTTGTACGACAAAACTCAGATTTACAACAATTTTGACCGAAGATGCCTGCTGATTACAGACCAGGGCGCGGGGGACCAGCAGACTCCGAATGGACGCGCAGCAGTATCTGTGCAGGGTGCTGGAACCACCGCCGCGTCTTCAGCTGTGGCTGCAGCAGCGAACACCACATCGGGTGTTGGTGGCCCAAGAGAGTGCGCTGGTTGCGGCAAACACATTAGGGAACGCTATCTGCTCAAGGTAAGTCCATGCGATGGTTTCAGATGACTCCATTTGCGAAAATGTAGGGCAAACAGTTACAGAGCACAGCATGTAAGATCAAGGCGTTATAGAAAACTGGGGTTTTCTGGATCCAAATCCGTATTTAACTAAAATCTATAATGAAATATAAACCTCTTGCTTTAAGCCGTATCTTTATTCATGTATGTAAAAGAAAAAATTATCCTTGGGATTAATGCGTTAAGCATCACGCCGTGTTGATGTATGTGGGAGTGATAGTATAGCTCCACCATTCTTGACCTTGTCACTAGTTAGAGGTAACACTGTCAACTGGAAACAGTCCCTGGCACCCACTGTTTAGGAGGCCGGGTAGGCCAGGAGCTGATCTGGAAATTATGGAGAAGAAAGATCTTTCTTGCCTATACCAGGAATCAAACCCTTATTCCTCGGTCACCCAGCTCATAGCCTAGTCGCTATAGTGACCGAGTTATATCATTTTAAAATGTTCTGCCTGTATTTAGCAACAATTCTGTCATGCAAATCACAGCTTTAGTCTGTGGTGAAACTGGAATCCTTTCATACAGAATTCGCTGAGTAGCTGTGGTTGGCACAAGTTGAAATATATACTGAATGATGTTCTGCTTGAATTTTTATCAAGATGTCAAGGTTCATTGAATTTTATGAATGAATTTAGTGTATTTATTTAAGGAACATTTCTCTTGTATATCCTACAGCCACAAAGTGTACAGCAAGAAATGAAATGAATATTACCCAAAAAAGTTCAGCTCATCAATAAATGACATAACATTTATCTGTGAATAAATCGTCACTGAAACAATTTCTTGGTGCAGCTGTACAATGACCTTATACTTGAGCTTCTTTAGCATGTCTCAGTGTGACATCATTTTTTGACAGATGTCTCACAAAATTTGTTTTTTGTTTATGCTTACAGTTCTCAATACAAAAATACCTTGAACAAAAATGTAATGTATTTAATACTGTGTAAGTCATCACTGAATTCTGATTTCCTGGAGAAATTTCCCAAATTCAAGGTGAAAAATTTCTCTGACATTACCACACTATAACCAGAGACATCAGTGAATAAACCAAAGAGACATAAATAATTATCATATTCTAGAGATATTCCAGTGTACAGTTTGGGACATCTGTCCTGCAAAATCAATAAACAATTAACAAAATGGCTGAAAATCAGTTAACTTAAAATGTCCCATCAATTAACAGCAATGTTCAGATTTAAACCTGCAAGTCAATTTGTGGAATGGTATCACGGCTTTGTGAGTTGTGCACTGAACATGGAGGATCTCATTTCAAACAATTTTTGTGAAGTCAGTAAGTAATAAAGAAATTTCTGACATATTTTAGTGTACATTTTGTCAACCAGTTAACTGACTTTTGGGCCATTCTGTTTCCTCTCAGGGGAGATCGGTGGATTTGCCTGAGTTTGGCCTGTATATTTTTGGACATTTTAATGAATCTGTATTTTATAGTAAATATAATATAAAAATGTTCAATATGAACATAAAATTTTGCCATATTATTAAACAAACATAAATAATTTCTATTGAATCGGTATTGTCTTTGTTTTGTTTTTTTTTAATTCGCATATTGGGGGGTGGAGTCCAGCTGGGTCCACTTGGCACGTCGGCCACTGATTGGCCTATTGTACCTGCCCTGAGTGATTATGATGATGGAGAATTTGGTGGAATGAAGATTGGCAGGGGAAACCAAAGTACTCGAAAAAAACTTGCCCCAGCGCCACTTTGTCCACCACAAATCCCACTAGACCAGACCCGAGCTTGAACCCGGGCCACCGCAGTGGGAAACCAGCGACTAACCGCTTGAGCTATGGCACGCCCTCTCAGTCCTTGTTAATAAAGGCCAATTAATAATATTTATTTATAAACTGGCAATGAGTTATCTTCTTGAAAGTGACCTTTAATTGAAATTTGATGTGATTATAGATTAAAGGAATTTTTGGTTGGAAACTATTGTAATAATATGACCCAAGTGATACCACTGTGATTCCTTCTCTGTGCAATTGTACCATTCAGTCACAAAACAATTTAAGTGTGGTGTGTTTCAGGCGCTGGATGTGTTTTGGCATGAAGACTGCCTTAAATGTGGATGTTGTGACTGTCGTCTTGGTGAAGTTGGCTCCACACTGTACACGAAGGCAAATCTTATTCTCTGCAAGCGAGACTACCTCAGGTTAGTTACGCTTCATCAAAGTAAACCGTTGCTAGGTGTTCCTCACAGAGTGATACAAAAGTAGAGCAACTCCTTGAACCTTTGCACACCACAAACAGTTAGATCGGCAGGACATACTTGCTTTAAAACAGCTGTAAGTGAAGAGAATGGCTCATTATTACGTTTGTTAATAGATGGCATGAAGTATGATAGACCAATATTTGGAGGAAAGACATGGACTCTCAATGTGATAATCTGAAGGTAATCTGAGAAAGTGTATTTTGGGTTTTTCTGTGAAAGTGCATTTACTCACAAGCAGCTCTTAATTATATGGGGATGCTTGGCAGTCAGAGGGTTCAGGAGTCATTCTGTCAAACCATTTTCATCCAGTATCATTATGCTTGATGTCATTTCATATAATGAATTGCATATGATTTAGACAAGGGTCTACCATGGGGTCACATTACAAAGGCCTACATGAAACTGTGTGCTTATCACATGAAATACACATGAGGTCAAAAATGTTCTGCAGATACATTTTGCACACTGATTCAAATGCAAAAGAGCCTGGATTACATTGTTATATACTATATTAACATAATATAGATTAGGAAGAAGTGTGGTCTTATATAGGACAGGAGAATTGTGATATGTCAGTATGTCTTCTCAAACTCTCCTTGAACATAAACAGGACTAAAAATAATGTTCAATTATGAACGATGTTTGGACTGGCTAAACAACATATTGCACTCATAACAAACCAAACACTACTGGAGCTGGACTGATTGTCCCCCAGCACCAACAAAGGCAAGAGTGATTTAAGACGGATCCCTAAGCATTTAATGTCAATTTTCGTTAACTTTTGAATCACTCTGTATTATCTTATGTGATAATGTGTATCTTTATTTAATATGATGAAGCACTAAGAAATTTGATTAAATTTTCTTTTATATCTACAAGGTATATTATACAATGGAAAGGAGAAAAAATAACATCACAAGTTAAACTGGCATTTTCATTTTTGCACTTATTGATCAAATGTTACAAAAACAAATATATTTACATATTTATTTCATTAAAAATTTAGTTGAATTTTGATTTATAGGGTACGAAGTAATGGACAGTAATCTTTATTTTTAACTTATAATTGAGACAAAACATAAAACACTCCTCTGACATCTACACTTGATCCTTGACTCACAAACTGGTTTTATTTCAAAGATCCACTCGTAAATCGAGTTGTAGGAAGAAAATGCATTATTGTGAGTGATGAAAATGCAGTAACATTAAAATATTTAACTTGAGAACTAATGCAGTGTAGCGACTTCAAGAAGTGAGTAGTTGCCTGATGATTGCCAAGTAAGGCCGAAACATGTAGCAGTTTATTTGTAATTTTAATATTATTTTAAATTAAAAGAGGATTGTAAACAAAGTTGCATAAAAAGCAGAAGTGTGTAAAATGATTATTTTTTCTGTCATATTTGTATAAATCCATAACACAAAAAATCACATTATCTTTAAACTACTGCATCAGTAAGACACTCAAATAAATGTAGGACTTTCTGCAATGATTTTTCATTTGAACTTCTCTGTTAACACACATGGAGTAAAAACTGATAGAAGATTGATGTTTAATACATAAAATCAGCTGCAATTCATCCAAACTTAAAAAGAAAAGCTTATTTACATTATTTGCTGCGTATTGTTATGATTGGCAGGTTGTTTGGGACAACAGGATATTGTGCAGCTTGCAGCAAAGTGATTCCAGCATTTGAAATGGTGATGAGAGCCAAAAGTAATGTCTACCATCTCGAGTGTTTTGCATGCCAACAGTGCAATCACAGGTGAGCAATGACAGTTGTATTGGGCAATTACTGTTGTCCACGCTACATTCAGTATAGATCACAGACTGGTGAGAAAAAGAGTACCAGTTATTTTATAATTTTACAGTAACTAATTTCATGAAGCAGAATCCACCTCAGAAGTCTAGTAGTAACATGCTCGCCGTTGGACGCTATTTTCTGTCTCCCACAGAGCTCTCTTCTCTGCATCCTGCATCTAGATGATGCTATGATCACGCAACTATGTAAACCTCTGGCAGACAAGAGTGGGAACAGTTTGAAATCACGCAACCCACCTGAAGCATGCCAGGCAACTAGGTAATAGAGCTTGAGAAAGAGTGGTGTCAGAATATAAAATGAGTTACTAATATGCCAACCAGTTGATTATTGAAACATGGCATTAGAAACCAATCATCTGCCACCACTCCATGGAGCATGCCCTTCTTCAGAAGTTAATGGTTGCTCATCTAATAAAAGAAAATTTCACTGCCTTGTATGGAACTTGAAGGTTCAATGCCACATTCACAATAACCCTTCACTAGTCTCCATCCTGAGCCACATGAATTCGGTATACATTCTCACAGACAATTGCATTTAAGAACATTTTAACATTATTCTCCCATCTATTTATAGGTTTCTGATGTGGTGTCCTCTATTCAGGTTTTGTGGTTAATGTTCTGTATACATTTCTCATATCTTACATGTATACTACATGCCCTGTGACCCTTGTCATTTGTGATTTATCATCCTACTAATATTGTGTAATGGGTGCAAATTACAGATGTTATCATTTTGCAGTTTTCTCCAGCTTTGTGTTACTTCCTCTTTCATGGGTGTGAATACTCTTCTCAGTCCGTAGTCCTCCTTCAGTGTGAGACTAGAACTATTGTGACATGACGCCTGAAAGTTGCAATATAACCATCTGCAAATATTATGATTTTGGACATTATCCATCGTCTATTTTTATCTAAAAACGCTGGAGATAGGGACTAGCACTCTTGATTGGGCCCAACTGAGTAGGTTTTACCTGAAGACAGAAACAGAATCCAGTCTCTAAAACGTTGTATTTTGAAAAATAAACAGGATGGTGTTTTTAGATAAAGACAGGATGTTGGATAATGTCTAAAAACAAAATATTTGTACGAAAAGATTAAAATGAAACAAAACTGAGCGTTGACTACTGATTGAATTGTTACAGGTTCTGTGTTGGGGACCGGTTCTATCTTTGTGACAACAAGATCCTCTGTGAGTACGACTATGAGGAGCGATTAGTTTTTGCTAACATGGCGTATAATCCGAGCAGCCTCGCACACATACGAAGGCAAGTCAGTAATTTGCAGGTATGCCCTAGACCTAAACAGCATGAGCATTAACACACAAACACACATGTAGGAAGTTATATCATGTTCACTTGAAATGTTTACACATCATGGTTCATCAATGCAAACTCATGCTGTTGGGAATGTTTCACATCTTGCCACAATATTCAACCTACTTACATTTAAATGATTATGACTGATGTTATTTTTATGATACTGGTGAGAGTTTACTGACAGATTCTGTAGTCAAATAAGGTGTGACAGGGGCCACAAGTGGCAGCAAGGATGTTAGATTTGAGGTCCTTGTGGTTTTGATTATGAAGATTACTTCTTCCTGAGATTTGATATGATGTAGTCTAGTAGAATGTTACTAGAATTTTGGAGGAACCAGGTACCTTCACCATCAAGACATCACCTATGAGACGGAAGTAGCAAGTTTCTGCAAAACACCTATAATGAACTACAAGACTGAATGGAATGACATCCCAGAAGACAGTAATCCAGAAATAGGAAATGATTTGGAAAGAGAAATTTGTGTCATATTTTTAACGTTACATTAAGCTGGAGGGAACTGTCTTTTTGTTTGCTAAGCCCCACCACAAAAATTCACAGTAGTTCTGCAAATTGCCTTCAAAGGACCACAGATATAGATACCATGTTAGTCTGTTTTTTCTCTAAAAATCACTGTATAGAATGTTAAAAAATGCAGTATACAGAGTGTTAAAAATAGGGTTACAAGCTTTACAAGGTATAGTACTCATTTAAATGAGTATAAAGTTCCATTCAGTCCATGTCCGGAAATCAGTGCCTGCTGTGATATGATGAGTCATTGGGATTTATAGCTGTGGGTATACCTAAAGATTTGGGTGTATTCAGTGATGATCAATGATATAGAGGTATTACAGCAGCAAGTAGAGAAAGCCTGTGAGGAGTTTCAGATGAGACTAGGAATTTTCATCAGAGTGCACGCCTCCCTATGTCGAAGAACTGAAAGTCAGTTGAAATACATGGGAACCACATGGAGCATCTGCTGCAGAGATCACATGAACATCTTCCACATCTCAACAGCCACTGATTTCTGGACAAATGTTGACTGGGATTTTTTGCTCATTTAAGTGAGGGATAGTGCAGTTGGTATAGTGACTGACTACAGGCTGGAGGGCCAAAGGGTCAGTGTTCAAAGAGTAAAGTAGGCGGGCAGTAAAACTGACCACTCACCTCTGACTAGTGCCAAGGTCAAGAATATGTGGATCTATACTGCCACTCTCCCATATGTCTTCATGGCGTAGTGCTTAATTAGTTAAGCTCAGGGACAACTTTACCTTAAATATGACCCGTTAAAGCATCTAACCCTTTTTTAACATCCTGTATAACACTTTATGTCATCTGTTGACATAAATTCTATACTAAGAAATTAATATCAAGCCAGTCTCTTTAATTCTGTCAGTTTTAACACAAGTATGCCAAGCCGATTTGATGAGCTCACAGCTTGCAAAAGGTTAAAACAATCATTGAAAAACATCACATTTGTGCGGGGGGGTGAGAATTTTTGTCATAAATTCTCTAAGGAAGACACTACTTCAGAGGATTTTATTAAGACAGATATTAGAAGAGTAGGATGTGCATTATGAGTCTGTTGAATTGCTCAGTGATCCTACTCACTTTGACTCTGAAGATGGGGGCAGTATGGTCAAAATATCAAAGAGCTGAATCAACATAAACAGTGAACCACTATGAAAGCCTTAAGTCAATAAGTGTTTGTTACATCAATTCAAGTTTTTGTAGAGTAAAATTATGAGTTACAAAAGATAAAATGCATCCCTATAAAACTGATGTTAAAGGTTGTAAGTTATAGCACAAAGTTTTCATTCATGAACAGAACTCTGGGAAAACATCTTCATATATTATGGTACTTCAGTACTACAGACAGTCTTGTATGTGGCTGGACAAGTGCAACAACCTTTTCGGTTTAGTTAATCCACATATGTCACGTAAGTCAAACGAAGCAAAGTATTTTTAATGATCTGCTGCTCTAACTTGTAGATAATGGAGTGCAGTGACCATGGCACTGATGTCTCTTTCGGACACTGTATAAATATGTCAGTCTCTGAATCTGAATTCTCTGTGCTATGTTACTTATGACTGTTGTATTGACTCCAAAGTGACTACGTCCTCGAAATATCTGAAAATTGATAATAAATGTTGTGTTAAGTATACCTTTCTTGTACCACTCACATGTGAACTGCACCTTGTTTCTGCTTTTTATGGACTTGGTCCTCCTAGCACGTGACACCTTCCTTTTCTGTCCTTGCCTGAGCAAGTACTACCTTTGGGGACACACTGCCAGTCGGGTATGGTACCGAGTAGGACTCGCTCAAATTTCTGTCTGGTGGTATACTTCTAAAATAGGTTTGCATTTGAACTTTTCTCTTCATCAAGAGGGCAGTCCAATCCACTGTGTTTGTCCCAGTGAGTTATGGCTGTAATTGTGCTGCTTGTCCTGGGTTCAGATCTCATGTTTATTGATGATGCATGGTTCATTGTGTATTCTCCTTTTACTGTGTTAATTATTTTGAACCTGTATTGTTTTCACACTTGTATTCTTTGTTTTGAATAACAGATTGTTCATGTTTAGTGACCTTCCACTTCAGTTAGTTGTGCTGCATTACTCTTTATTTACTTCCCTCGTTCGGTTGGTACTATATAAATCAGAACAAATTTCAATATCTAATTTAAAGAAAGATACTTATAGGAGATATCCTGAGCCATCACACTTTTAATAGATGAATAGAGTAGCAAACGCCATCGAGTGCAACAAGTTTAATATAAAATAAAGCCTTTACATGTTTCAGTCACTGCTGGCCATCATCAGAAGGCAAAGCCAGCATTACAAAGGAATACTTTACATGGATGATAAGCACAGATTATCATAAAGGGATTTCTACCTTTAGAAATTGAGAATACACTAAAATATTATAGTAACTGAAATAGGTTATGCTTGTTGAAATAATTAGTATCAATTAAATTAAGTAAGAGTTTTGTTATAAGTATCTGAACACAATGATGGCCTTATTTTCCTACTGCTGGTGTGGACAGACACAAGACCAATCGCACAAGGTATTTTACACACAAACAGCATACCATGATGGTAGAACTTCATTCATTCAAAACAATGGTACCTGACGCAGTTGAATGGTAATCCTAATGCTTCAAAATGACATTTTTCTTGGGGAAGGAGTGTCTGGTAACCACTGGACAGACATTTATGGGGGCCACAGAGTCTGTGAGCATTATTTATGAAAGTAAATTTACTTTTTTGTACTTTCCTCCTTCATAATTTTTGAAAGCACATGTATTCCTACTCTATTATTGGCATCTGGACTTTGTAGACAAAATAGGTAAAATTATCCCTGTACATAACTAATTATGCCATGAAGATGTAAGTGGGAGTGGATGTATAGAACGCTGTTTTCTTGACCTCAATAATAGTTGGAGGTGAGTGGTCAGCTTCACGCACCAGCCACTTTACCCTCAGGGAAAGAGCCCCTGGTACCCATCAGGTAGGAAGCTAGGTGGGCCCAGAAACGGTCTGGATGACATGGAGAAGAAAATTCTTGACCCTAATAGCACTTGATCTCTGACCCCCGCCCCAGTTTTTCAGCCCGCAGCCAGTCTCTATACCATCTGCGCTATACCAGCTCCCCATCTAGACATGGTTAGTGGGAAACATGAACGAAATTGAAATGTTCCTGACAGCTTTGAGTAGAGATTTCATATCAGTTTTATTTTAAATTCAGTAAATTCATTGGAATATGGCAGACAGACATGACTTGTATTTTCCCTTTGTTCAAGGAATACATAATACATGATTATGGTATTATGATTTATCTGCACTTAACAAATTATTTAAAGAAATAATTCCTTTAATTGTCACAAAAGTTACCTTCAGCTATTTCTGTCACTGTACATATATACAGCATTTGTTTGTACCACATCTAACTAATAGCTTCACTTTCTTCCAGCCAGCAGGAGACAATTTAAGCATCTACTATGAGAATCCACGCCTCCTTCATCAACAATATCACCATCATCATCACCACCACCACCACCACCATCACCATCAGGTGACACCAACTTCATACTTTGGCAGTGACAAGACATCAATGCTTGTTGCACCAGTGAGCAGTGGTGGAAACAGTGGAGGTGCTGGTCACCAGCTGAGAGATGATGGCTCCAGTGGCTATGGGAGTCCTGATTCAGAAACATTTGATGCACAGTGTAACTAAACATATTTGGTCTCGTTACACTATGTGAATACGATCAGAATATTAAGAAGATTGAAGTATGTTAAAGTATTTGTGCTCGACACTTATTCTGCAGTTAGTGGCTGCTTACATCTGTTGGGAAAGTAACACAATGTACCAAGGAAGTACCTGAGCAACGTGACTTTACAGTTTTCTTTAATTTCACGGTGAAGGTGCGCTTTCACATGAAAATACATTGTTTCACAGAAGAAATGTATAACCGGGGAATTATTTAGCTCAGAAATAATACATATGGAATGATATGTAGTTATGTGAAAGAGCACATTTTTATGAGTCAATTCACATCATTGACTTTGTATTAGTTCCAAAATTACTGTATATGCAGGAAAGCAACACATCCATGCAATACTCAGCACTCTGTAGTAACAGCACAGTATCTATTATATATGTATTTTGCAGTATACTGTACTGGTGTTTCTTGAAGTAAATTTCATTTAGATGGCAATCTGTATGGGCTTCTGACCTATCATTATGTTAATTTAGTAACAGTGATTCATGATGATCAGACTTCATGCTATGATGTGCAATTTTATGAACTCTAATTGAGGAAACATGATACACAAGGTACTGCACCTCCATTCACAGAGGTAAAGATATAAGCTATATATTTCTTTGATAATGTATTAGTTTACATGAGACAGGATCATTAAGTTTATGTATGTTTAAGGGCTTAAAATTTCAATTAAGTTTGAAATATCTGCTTGAATGAAGAAATGCATTTATAACAAAGTGGACTGTAGAAAAATATATAAGGTTGATAATTTTCACTAAATGATTACCATTCTGTAAGCAGCCACTTTCTGTATAAAGGGTGATTTCTGTAAAAACTGTAATGTTGATACCATTAAAGATGAAGAACTTCACAGTGAATTCTGTTTCAAGACTGTTCTGTGAAAAATGTTGTATTTGACTTCTTATGCCTTTATGTATATTTAAAAAGAAAAATGTTTAATGAAATTACAAGCAAATTTAGTTTTAAGGAACAAGTAATAGGAAACAATGAATAAAGAAGAAAGACAACAAGTATTTTTTACATATAGCATGTGAATCTATACTAGTCGGTTCGCCAAATATGAACTAACAAAAATATTTCCCAGTTTTATCAAACTGAAGAGTATCTGATGTATACGAAATGATAAAGATTTAGATCGTTATAAGAATTGTGGTAATGATAAAATAATGATGATAGAGACGAAGATGATGAAGACAAGGAAAGTGAAGAACACATCATCTTTTGTATACCATTCAGTGGCCTGTGATGACTAAACTAGATGGTTCTCAGGTGAAGTGATTCCACTCTATAACTGTTACAGATGAGAACTGATGCTGATTTTGATGTGCTGCAGCTTTCTTCTCTGACAAGCCAGGAAATAAGAAGTTAACATTATCTGAGGTACTGTTTCTTAATATGAATTAAAGATTGACAAAAACTGTAAATAAGAAATTATGACTATTTTCCCAAACTGACTTGGTCTCCCAGAGTTGGCTTGTGATAATATTTCCTATTATGTCTTATAATTTGCCCTAACTATTTTGCTTTTTGACTGTAATTGAATATGAGCAATTCTCCTATAACACTGTTGTGTTATGGCACACGTATTTACATGATATCTGATTGAGCCTGGTGCTCAACAAATTTTATTTTAATGCTCATATATATTGTCAATTTGAAAAGTTACATAACATTTTACAGTACTTGACTCTCCATACAATGTATGAATGACAGACTGTCAATTATCTGATTTTCAGATTAACCACACAACTTTTAGAACCGATTAGGTTATTGATTACAAGCATAGGTTCCTGTTGTGATTCAACTGTTTCAGTAGTATGTGGCTGTCATGCTTTACAATTAATTGCAGTAGACTGTACATCTTCTCACCTTATTGGAATTTCCCATACAATTATTTTGTTACTTTTCATGCTGACCTGCCACTGAACAAAGTTTGCTTTCTTCTACTGGAAATATATTTTATCTAAGCATCCTGATGCATTAATGTATCCGTTGTACACATATATTTCCATCTGAAATGCAACTTATTATCTAGTCACCTTTCTTCCTCACTACTTACTACATCAACATCCTCACAAACTGCACAAATAACATGCATAAGTGCAACTACAGGTGTAACAACTATGACAACTTATAGAAGTGTCAGTAAAAATATATAACACAACACATCTACACATTACTGGTAACACCCACACCTCAAATTGAATGCAGTGTGATTAAATCCAACGAGAAATTCTTTCAAGCAAATATCTTTTAAATGAATAGATCATGATCAGAATGGAAATAACATTAAGATATTAATTAATTTTAATTCCAATTGGAGATATTGCATTACACGTGATGTATAACTTTGATACACATTGTAACAATTTTAGCAAGATAGACAGCACCTGATGTTGGCCATATATGGCTGAAACAAGTAGTGAGAAAAAAGGGTGGCAAGACAATAAGTTGCATTTAAGACCAAAATATATGTGTGCAACAGGAAATATATTTGTCTCATTGTTATTGACAAGTAGCATGATCAAGGAATTTTCAGGGTTAGTGGATAGTGGATATTTCCAGATTTCTAAAGTTTCTGTTGTTTTTCATTAGCCATACTATTTCTCCTCTCTCATCATGGATGATCATGAGTTAACTGCAATCCTCAAAACCCTTAGGGTAATACAAATTCATTAATGTTTCACTTATGAACATCATTTAAAAGTTCTGACTGTCAAAGGGAGTACGAGTAAACCTTCTTCCAATGTGGATCTGTGCAATGCGGATTTGATCGTATGCATAGAAATAAATAAAAATTCGATTACACATGTTCTGCCAAAAACAATATAGTAGCATGTAAATAATACTGTTTAAATTTCTGAAGACAGTTCAGCTTTTGCTTACGTATTTAATTAACCAACTTGAGTTATTTTATTCAGCATACATAACAGTGTAAATATTCAGCTCAAATATCTCCATATTAAGTTCATACAATGCAGACTCACAGAACATGTTACTTTCAAGGTATGTAATCCTATGTTGGATGATGGTTTACTGTATTACACAGTTCGTTCATAAATAAATATCGCTACAGTGTATGTATGATTTTATTGTTTATATACTTAAACTTTCCATGGCTGCATTCCCATATTCCCATTAATCCCAGCAATATTAAGCTCCCATTCTAAAGGATGTTGGGTGAGGGTTTACCATAAACTATTCTTTCATTATTTATTCTCTCACATTGACATCCATCAGTACTGATCACCGTTATTTATTTCATCTCAAACATGTTTTGCCTCTTATGTCATCTTCATTGTCTGCTTGTATAAATCTTATTCCCTTCAGCATAAGATACTATTGTTTTTTCAGTATTACATGATATATACGTATAAACTCTTACACCAGATCATTTTTTACAGTATTTCTCATAATGCACAGATTAAAAACTGTTAATAGCATTAAGTATTTCTTACAAAGTAGTTTTTACTTTATTTTTCTGATTATGATCTGAATTTCTTGGCTGTTTTTATCAAAGAGTTTTTTAGTACAGAGAAATATTAATATTAGTAAAGATACAGAAAATATTAAATAACTTGATAAGTTACAAAAGTGATATTAATACCATTTAACAGGCAGAAAATTAATTAAATATCTCTCTTTATTGCAAAGTTGCTAGGTCACAAGATCTATCACATATCCATGGCACTATCTATCTTTTAAGGCCCTCTGGTTTTAAAATCCAAATATTTGACATTGCTGATACAAAAAAAAATTGCCACAAGGTCTTGCCCTAACTCCTTTTAACCACTCAGCATCAGCTATTTCCTTAAGTTCTTTTGCAATATTGCCCCTCCATCTCCATTGTTGTCTTCCAATTGACCACTTTCCAAGAGGTTTCCCTTCAATTTACTTTTTTCCCTATTTCTCCTAACTGAGATATACTTTAAAGTCTTATCCAGCATTGAAGCACTCGCATAAACTTTGACAAATTAGCATAAGACAGTCCTGAATGTAGAGTGTTATGATGAGTTTGAATATGGTGATGAATGTGATTGCTATAAATTCTTATTTCCTGGCCTTCTTATTTGGGTTACAAATGCAGATTACAACATTATTCCTGTTCATAAGCATGAAGTGGTGAGTTTTAGATAGTGAAAGAACAAGGATCATATATTAAGTCAGTAACTGTGTTTCCTACATATTTGTTTTATAACATACGCTGCATGTGTAAACATTTTAAACTTTCCATCAATCAAGCCCTTGTGGCTATTTAATAAGATCCATATTGACAAATTTATTATTATGATATATTTGCTTCTTGTCTATGTTCTACTCACCTGTTCATATTTTCTTTCAAGTTTCATGTCACATATTTCTGTGTTACTGTGAATACTGCAGTGTGGAATGAAACTTCAGAGATTACTTCCCCATCACTAAATAATATGATGAATCAGTGGACTTCCTGTTTCTCATTTTGTTGTTTTCATGTATAGTCACATAAATTATAATATTAGTAGCTGATAGTAACAATTTTGAACACAATATCCAACTCAGTTCTTTCAAAAGAATAGACAACTTTATCATACCATTCTTTGATAAGTCATAAATTGTAAGGAGAATACAATTGAATATGTGGTAAATGCTGTCCTGGAAATTTATGTGAATACTGAGCAGAGGGTTGCATACCACAAAGGTACTAAACATTATCATCTGTGCATTGTGCTGCCATTAGGCCCCTAGTAGTGGGGAACTTAAGTATTCTGCTCCTGGATCATAAAAGTAACCTCCAGTGAAATGGTATGACTCGCAACTGATATATAAATCAGACGTAAAAGGATATATCAGTTAGAGTTTGAGTATGTAGATATGGCAGAATGTGATAAATGTTACTGAAAAGCTCATAAATTTTAGTAGATATATTAGATGACAAAAACAGTAATTAAAGACAACTGTGTTGTTTTTATATTAATCTGAAAAAAATGTTACATAAAATAGATACATTTAAACAAGAATTTTGGATCTTGATTGAATTCATGTGAATGTTGTGTATTGTGAAGATTCTTGTAAATGACCATCTACACTTATCACAACAAATTCTGCTAAATTTCAGCTTTTGAACCATCTTCAGTACCACTCAAATTGTAATTCTGTTTAATTCTTAAACCCTGGAAGATTTTAAAGTTTAAAGTTCATATTGGTTCTGTATTATTATAGAATAATATGAGTGGAAGAGTGATATGAACTTGTTATACTATATTTTATCTTGCTTATTAATATCCAAGAAAATTTCCTTGCATCTCTTTATAGAGGAGCTCTCTTCATGTTCTTTTTGCTCTGTGCTGGGACAAAAGCATCTGGTCTAGTATTGTGATCATCTTCGAAAATTATAATTATACTATACAACAGGTTGCAGAATGTTTCTAAATACACATTAATTTCAGATTTGATAATTTCCCTTTCTCAACTCAATTTTAATCCCTCTTCAGTCAGTTTTCAAAATCTGTTTAAATGTATCAGGCTATTTTCACTTTTTCAGATTCTTATCATGACAAATTATATCACAAGGCCCTAGTAAAGTGCATGACAAAGAAATTGTAACATTTTTCGGTTCTTTCTAAAAACATCTTTGCCAGTACTTTCATGCTCAGTTATAGCTGCAATGTTGAAACATACAATACTGTCAGGTATGTGATTTTTGATTAGTTTTCCAGTACATATTAATTGCTTGTGGTATGCATACCAACTGAGAAAGCACTGACATTGTAACTTAACTTAAAGAGCATCCATACTTGATATTATGTGACATACTCAATGTGTTTTGGCTAATATTGTGCCACATTGAGGCATCTATTACTATATCATATTACTATTATCAGTAAAATGTAAAATGTCATCTACTCTCTTAATCAGATTTTACAAGTAACATTATACTGACAATTTTAATATGTGACAGTAACAATAAGCCACAACAGTTGGGTGAAAATTGTGTTCTGCAAAAATGTTCCTGAATTTTAGGAACAGCAACTGATGAATGTGAGAGATAAGATTGTACTAAAATTGTAACTTGTTCTTTTTTCTTTGGCTTAGTATTTTACTTTTTATTTTCTGTGAAAGAAGTCATATTTTTTTATTTCAGGAATGTATCTAGGTTTACAAGTAGAATGAAATAATTGAGACATCAGAAGTAATAGAACATAGATTTCCATGAGAGATTCAACACATAGTTTGCTGGTCTTGACCTAAATCCATTTCTCTGTAGCAGTTCATTTCTTCTACAGTGGCATTTTTCATGCACATACTTTGACTGATAAATCCCATGAACATCGGAAGTTGGTTACAAATCTTTACTCATTTGTTGGTCACATTTGGATCCAGTGTGAAAGAAATTAGAAACTATTCTGTTATTAATGATTTTAGGATTTCACAATGGTTCACTGTTCATACTTCATTTGGCTCTTGTGTTTTTACACTGTGTGTGTAGGCAGTGTTGTTGACCCTTAAGAGGTATGTGCTACTTCCCCTCTTACACACTTCAATTCTGAAGATGGAGGCAGCATGTAACCTCTGAAACACTGGCTACACGACCTACATCCACACAATGTAAAGACTCAAGAGGTGAATAATTCTATTATTTCAGCATGCATAAATTGTTCAACATAAGGTATGCACTTCAGTATTTTCCCATAGTAATGACATCTTGAAAACAAGAGCTAATGCCAAAGTGTAAATTAACAAGAGAGATCATTAATATAACTGAACTGTAAATAAATGTTGTATGGAATGAAGAAATGAATGCAGGCCAGGAAGTTGTCACAAATACTTTCTGGCCTCTGATCATTAGATAAAACTTCATCAAATGTAAATATGATATTCTATGAAATAACTGTTTGGCTGCGACTCCCGTTTAGTGTGACACTGACATATCTTGAGTCAAACTGTAGACTGCGTACTTCATTTGCTCTGTTGTTCCACGTACAATGAGTCTGTTGGTCTCTTTATTTTTGTTTAATGATGCAATCAGTTATTATGTGTAAAATATTGTAGGGATAAATGTGATTAATTTTTCACTAAACAAAGTTATCTGCATAGAATTCTTTTGGAAACATATGTACATAGAACTTATGTTAATGAAAACAAAAATAAATGTTGTCTTTTTGTTACATTGTGTTCAGACAACACAAGATTGTTTCTTTTAAAACAGTGACAATTTGTCGGGCGATTACACAGTTCACAGAGCCAGAGTTGGATGAGATCCTAAGCCATGATAAGGGTGAGGCCTCAGTAATTTATTTTTTAAAGAAAAGAGTGAAATGAATGTTTGTGTATGTTGAACTGCACAAATACATAAAAGTCATCATTTGCTTGGCATCAGTCGCACAGCTGCATCTGCAAGGAGCAATGTGGCCTCCTCTTTCTTTTTTGTTTGTCACAACTGTTCATGTGTGGCTCTTCAATCATTCCAGTCTGACGAGATGCAGCCAGCCATTTATTATCTTCCGACATTTACAGGAGGGTCTTATGTTTTTCTCTTGGGTGATCTTTCCTGTTGGTATTTACTGGCCACTCACATTGCAAGGCCCTAAACTGCACCTTATTTAGCCTATATGTAAATCTGGCACTGCAAAGAATATGACAAGTAGGGGCAGTCTCATGCTTTCAAGGATCCCATATTTCAGAAGTAAAAGGTAAAGTTATCCCTCTGCTTAACGAATTAAGCATTAAGCCATGAAGGTGTATAGGGGGAGTGGATGTATAGATCCACATTTTCTTGACCTCGGCACTAGCTGGAGGTGAGTGGTCAACTTCATGACCCGGCCGCTTTACCCCAGGGAAAGAACCCCCAGTACCCATTGGATAGGAGGTTGGGTGGACCCCAGAACCAGTCTGGGCGACTTGAAGGAGAGAAAATTCTTGACCCTACTGGGACTCGAACTCTGACCCATCAATCGTCCAGCCCGTAGCCAGTCGCTATACCGACTGAGCTATCCTGGCTCCTGCTTCTTGGTGTTTGGTTTAAATTTCCTGATTCATACTTCAGAAGTAAGGTAAAGAAAAGAAGTAAGATTCCTCTATGCATAAGCAAAACTGTATATAGGTAATAGTGAATACATCTCAGTCTCAGCCTGAGATGGGACTGGTCAGTTTCAATATCTGGCCTCATTAGCCCTTGGGAAAGAGCATGTGGTACCCATTTGGCAGAAGGATGAATGGGCCTAAAAGTCAGTTTTGAAGTGATTCCAGAGAAAGAAATCACTGCCTGCAGCTGGGAAATGGACTCTGAACACCCAAGCTTCAACTTATTGACAAAGCCATCCAGGAATGTCTTTGTTTAAATAGGCATCGGTGATGGTAAATACCTGTACCTAAACCAAGATGAGTGCTTACCACTCATTCTTTGTATGTCAGAGGTACCCAATTTGAATTTTAGCTGAGCTACTGGTTATCCTGGCAAGCTTCTCATGTTTTCCCACAGTTTCCCCCATATTAATACCAGGATAGTGCCTTCAAGCAGGCCAAGGCTCTCTCCTGAATCCTTTCGCAAACATTCATTCCTATAGAGCATACAGCTGCAGGCTTGTCTCAGGCTGCAAGACCAAGAGACTGTCACATTCCACTTTACACTCAAACATTTCCCGTGCAGGAGAGTGTGGGACAGATGTGACGGCAGTGCTGTATACATTATGACACTCGAAGGATATGAGTGTAGCTCTTCATACAGCTGATCAGGAACAGAAAGAAGGCCACTTGTCCATGGCTTCTGATTTGTTAATGTGTAGAAACTGGTGGTAAATTAATGAAAATATAACTTTAAGTTTTCACAGAGACTGTATACAATTAAATTTTCTCAAGCGATGAGACATATGGAGATGTAATTAATATCCAGTGTTTTGGACTAAACAGAACGGTAAAACAGGGTGATGTCTAGGTGGTTCTCCTAAAGTTATGAGGGGAGGTCAGAACAGATATACAGGCAGTATACAGAGAGCAGAGAGGGCAGCTTGCAGCTGAAGACAACTCAGCAAGCAGATGCTGAAGACTTTAAAATAGTGATGTAGTTACAGCAACCTTTAGAATGTTATAATTAATTGTAGTTCTGACTGGGGAATATTCAATAAATCAACGCATACTTACAAACCTGCTTCTAAAGTCACAAATACACATGACACTACTTTAAAAACAACCCTACTTTATTTGCATAATAATTATGCATGCTGGAGGGAGGACTCTCTGTAGTGGTGAAAGCCATGATCAGATTGTAGGATTCCCTGTTGATGTTAATAGTGTGAACAGACACTGGGGGAAGACTCCAGTATCCTAATGAAAAATTATATTTTCTGGGATGTTGAAAGTCAACCAACATTTCGGCAGAACAGGTCGCCTTCAGCTTCAATATTGAAGAGTCAGCCAAGCAGTTGAAGTACTACCCCAGAATTTTCCTACATGGCTTGGTTCATCCTGATCTGCCACACTAGCAAGAGTATAAAGATTATTAACGCCATCCAGTGTGATTGATAAATGTTGCGTTTTTCTAATCTTCCATCCTTCACATGTTTCGGTCGTAGCAACCATCTTCAGAAGGACATCAATACATACAGAAACTACTATTACAATGTCATATATACATATAATATTATCCTGTAACAATTACTACAATGTGCATGACTTTGTTGAAACATATAAATTATTATAATTATTTTATTTACAAAGTATTGTTTAAAAACAACCTATTGGGTTCAGACATCGAGGCTCCCACATTTTCTAGACAGTCGGCTTACAGTTGGCAGAAGTTACCTGCAATGATTGCATCTGTGTCAGTAGGATACAGGTTGATGGCATTTACGACCTTTACGACAATGGGGTAAGCTACTAGTAAGTCTGAAAATGTCTCTGGCTTTGAAATTTCGGAACATTCTGAAATAAAATTCATCCTGAAATATGAAACATAGTCTTGTGTGATGTGCTGCTAAGCATAGTATTTCACCACGTCTCAGAGAAACTCAAAGTGTCCTTAACTTCGGAGTAGAACAGAAAGCAAAATCGAAGACCAGGAAGGTGGAGGAATTACACTTTTCCGAAATTTCGGTGACATTGTACCCTACAGTGTCACATCGCAGGAAATGGTACTCTTCGTAGTTTCACAATCGTAAAAACATCACATCTAACATCCTTGATTGCGCTCGTACTTCTATTCTTTGGTTAAAAAAATGTATATACAAAAATGACCTAGGCAATGTTCATTTTTTATTCAACATTGACTCCAAAAGTTTTTTCAATACTACCTACCACAACCTACCGATAGAAAAAGGTACTGCCAACAACAGAATGTTCAGTGATCAAAGATTACTAAGTAAGCAGAAACAAAAGTCCAGACCGGTCTCGGCCGTCCCGACGAAATTGGCAGCGATTTCAGGTATCATCGCGCAATCTTGAATGTTTGCATGCATCTTCGATATAGCAGGCTGTGCTATACGCTGATCGCCATGATGGAATTTAGTGTGCAGTAATGGCGTGTGTAGTAGTGTATCCGAAGTATTGTACTTTCGTGTATTTATCTTAACAGCTAACGTGTAATATATTACAGTTCGTTATGTATTATTGTATTATGGAATTTCATAATTCTACTTGTTTCGGACGGTTTTAAGGTATGAAATCGACATAACAATACGATTCGATACATACGTTAAGTAAAAAGAAGAAACAAGGTAAGATATAGTTCAGTAGTTCATCCGATTAGTTGCACAAAATTGAGGATTTCTGGGCCCTGTTTTAATCAGATAGCGACGATAAGTACTATAAAGGTTTACACAGTAATTTTACAAATCACTGTTTCATAAATAGGATTGAATAAAGTCGTATATTAATTCACATTAAAATAGATCCTGACGAGAAATCCAGATAAAACGATGGAATTTGTGATAGAATGAAGACATTTATGAAATGATAGAGTAGTATCCTTAAAATACTGCAAGAAAGTCTGTTATTTTATTGATTTATTTTTTATCGCAGTTCGGTGTAATGCTGAAGTCTGAATCTTAATATGCTTTGACATGTTACATGATAGGGTATATTCCTCAAATGTGGGAGTATATATGAACATCTTAATGCCACGTGATCATCATGCCAATTTCAGCATCATAATTTGAAAACACCACCGTATAGATATGGGCTGCCATCTGGACGGCCCGGTTTTGAGTTGACGTTGATTCCCACACAGCCTCCTGTCCAGTGGGTATTGGAAGCTCTTTTTCCGGGTGTAAAGCGCCAGGGGCGTGAAGCTGACCATTCACCTCCATCTTGCGCAGAGGTGGTGGAGCTATGCCTCCACTGGCATGTATATCTTCATGGCATAGTAAAAACTATCCTTGTAACAGGCCGTGAAGGCCCATAGGGCTGTGAGATGTTAAGGCTCCCACATCAACTAGACAGTTGGCTCACAGATGGCGATAAGGTTGTCAGCTTTGCTCCTCCCCCCCGGAAAATTCCTGGTACTCATTTCTGTTAGAGACTGAGTCGACTTGAACGCTCAACCTTCTGGCTTGTAGCGTAGTGCCTCAGCCAGCTACGTTACCACAAGCCTCCTACATGGCTTATTGCTTAACTAATTAAGTACAGGGACAACTTTACATTTACCTTAAAATTTGTTTAATAAAAGAACCACTGTAATCACTTTGTCACAATGTGAGAAACTAACCAGTCACCAGATTTTAACTACTCTATGTGATAATATTTACTGTCTGCTGACTGGAAATTGGTAACATTATATTAATAAATTGTCCTACAGTTCTTTATTGAAGCCTCATGTTATATCATAATTCAAAAAAGTATTCTGCCCTGTTCTGCACAACACTTTAGTGGTGATGTAAAGCTTCTTGGTTCTGTTTAATCATTCAACTTATCACTATCTTAGTACAACTGTTTTTGGTCTCTCTGTGACCGTTGTAAGATACATGCAGTACACAGTCAGGTGCACTGTACATGCTTGCAACAGTTGTTAAGAGATAGAGTTTTCAGATTTTGTTCCAGTTAAGATGTAAGTAAAGTAAAGCTATCTCTGTAATAGTCCGTGAAGGCCCATAGGGTTGTGGGACATTAAGGGCCCCACATTATTTAGTCAATCGGCTCAAAGATGGCGGCAAGGTTGTCAGCCTTACGTGCCGGC